ATTAAGTTAACCGTTTAAATGTGTCAATGTCTAGAAGTAATTTTAAGTATGAAAGAATAGAAATATTAAATTACATCTAACTCACTCATGTCTTCTCTCTGTCCCTCCTCACATCCTCACTTCGTTAATTTCCATATGCTTAATACGGCCCGTCAAAAATGTGTAAATTTCTTTTCATTTTGTTTTCAACCTTTGCAAGTAGAGTCTGATTACCCGCAGTCCTTTAAAAGAGCTGTGATGAAATAATTTATTACATGGACCCTTAAAAGTGGTCTGTTTTTATTTCAATATATATATATATATATATATATATATATATATATATATATATATATATATTATATATATATATGTATGTATGTATGTCTGTCTGTATGTATGTATGTATTTAGATAAATGTATGACATATACATATATATATATATACATATATATATATATGTTTGTATGTATGTATGTACGTATTTAGATAAATGCATGACATATATATATATATATGCATGATATATATATATATATATATAGATAGATAGATAGATAGATAGATAGATAGATAGATAGATAGATATGTCTTCAATATTATGTATTATTAATGTACATACCTATTAAGAATGATGAAAGCGTTGATTAACAATGATAAATTTGGATTTTAACCTAATTTACTTTTCATGACTTCCTCAGGTACGTACACAATATGGTACTACAAAAATACTTTCTCTGAAGAATTACAGCAGTTTCAACTAGAAATAACCGTTGTTATCTTTTTTTCGGAAATATATATATATATATATATATATATATATATATATATATATATATATATATATATATATATATATATATATTGTGTGTATTTAGGCAGCATTTTTCCTTCATACATGTTTTATTTTATAATACAGACAAGTGTAAATTCTTTTCATATCGTCTGATACTCTTTAATAATATTATCATTAAACGAAGAAAGAAAATCACAATATTGATACATATTTTTTTAATCCTATGTAAGCTTTCGGCTTACATAAGCCGTAATCAAAGATGACAATTGCTGTACAACATATTAAGGAATACACGGACAAGAAAGTGATGGTAGTCTGTTTCTGTTTACATGGAAGATTTCCAAGCAATGACAAACTCGTGCATATAAGACGCTGAAACTGAAAATCGCACCGCAGCTCATGACGTCACACATGACCACGTGAGAGTGAATTCGAGAAATATTAAGTATGGGAAGCCGTTGGTATAAACCAATGGCTTCTGTTACCAATTATAGGCATTTAAAATATTTGTAGAGATTTCATAGTTTATTTTGTTCAGGTTAGGTTTCAACTGTTTTATGTATATAGCTTCAAGAATTTATAGTTTTTATTTATTGTTTTCATGTTTAAGTATAGTTATGTTTTCATCAAGGATTTTCCGGAATTGTGTATGCGGCCAGGCATGTTGTTTTAAATGCCTAAAAATGTTAGAGTTTTCATTCAAATGTAGTGTCAAGCGTCGTGAAAGCGAGTTTGTGGTGTGACCAACATAAATATTATTTAATTAGTTGGAGATACAATCTCCCAAATGGCACTTGAATTTATAAACTATGTTGGATTTTTGCAAATGGCTAACCGGGGGAGAAGAATCATTGCGAATAATTGAGCTGGATATACTAGATTTAGTGTAGTATATGATTAACTTAATTTTTTTGCTAGGATCTGTAGTTGATATATTAGAATTTACTAATTTTTTTAGTATATTTTCATCTTGTTTATAATTAGTATGCATTTGATTACGATATAGGAGATTAATATATTTTAGATTAGTAGAAGCAGTATTATGTACTATTTGCTTAGTATTGAAAAGAAAGAGGGTCATAGAAAAACAGCGCGTAAATGGATGGCGGAACATGGTTTGGGAGAAATAACAAAAAAATTAATCTTTTCAAGTACTACAAGGTACAGGAGGGTGTAGAGGGCCATGATCACCCACGCAATGAAGTAACATAAAAGAAGTTAATACTTTCAGGCGTGATTGTTTTACTATTGTCATGGTTTTCCCATTCCATCAACTATTACCTGTGGGTGTTCTGTGTCAATATCTTATTGGAAAGCAAAAATCGGACGTAGCGAAATCCAGACTTGTCACATTCCATCACCACTGATCTGACCACGATCTATCGCCAGTTATGAATGCTAAATAATAATTTCAGACTATTATTTTTTTTTAGTGGCAATATATTTCGGCTAAGACATTCTGAGTCCTTTACGGCCAGATGTTAGACAAAATAGGGAAGTCGATTTTGCTTGGCTGATCCGAACGTGGAATTAAAGTTTTTAAGAGTTGCTGTTTGGACGGTAGGCTAAGTAGACGTATAGATTGCGGACGTGGACACCCCCACCCGATGGGGAACTACCTATAGATAGTTCATTGTTACATGTCAAAGAAAGATTGTGAGATTTTCATGTTTGGAATCGGCTTTCAAATAGGCGAGTGTAGTAACCCAACTTGATAGATGTACCCGTCGACGTGTAGAATAAAATAATAGTTAAGATTTAAAATTCCCTTTGGTTGATGTCTCTTTTTATCTCCGAAAAAAAACAACTGACATTCAGCGACCGGGAAAGAAGGCAACATATATGTGAATCAACAGCTTCGCCCCAATACCTCCCTAGAACGAGGCGGAATACGCAACACGATGAACGGATGTGCCCTCGAGGAGACACCAAGCGTTGAGTGAATATTATGCCTCAAACGCACATTCGACCTCATGTAGTATTCTTATCGTCAGTATTATATTAGTAACTATCTGACTCCTGATGTTTTCGTCTACATATATAAGATCCAGATGAGGCCGAAAATGGAGTAATGTTGCCATATCTTGGTGAGGGCTGCTCGGTTCTCATTTTTCAGTTTTGTGTTCAAAAGCTTAGAGAGAAAT